ACGAAAATGCCATAATAATAAAATGGGTATTACAATCTCGCCCTCTTTTTTATATTAATATTTATATATAAAGAGATAAAATATATAATTAGTAAAATTGTATATAATTTATTTAAAGTATACACACAAATTAAAATTAAAAAAAAAAATGTCATGAACTCTTTCATTGATTTGCTCTAACAATTGACAAATATGGAGATGAGTTATTTTACAAAAAAAAAAATCTTTAAATTTAAATTCAAAATTATCTCACCTGTGAAAATAAGAAAAGGATGACAAAACATGTCTTAACCCTCACCCTCTTATCATCTTTAATTATGAGATTACTTTAATCATAACATAAAATGTGTTAATAATCTATAATAATAATAATAATAATAATAATAATAATAGATATTTCCTTTTTTTATTAGTGGAAAAAGCTGAAGAAGAAAAAAGATAGGGAAAACAAAAAACTAGTTGTTTCTAAAGAATAAGGTTTCCACAAAATCAGCATGAACAAGTAAAAAGTAAATCAGAGTGGCACACAAACCAAATAATTAGACTATCAACCAATGAGCTAGGCATCTTCCTTAGCCAACCAGTCAATCGTAGTATTTTCCTTCTCAGAGAGTATGAGTAAAGACTATTCAACTAAGAGTAAACATTACCTTAATTTTGTGTATGGTCGTTACATGAGGATGGATTGGAAACATATCATCCTTAGTGGATGAGAGGACAATTTTAGAGTCCAATTCACAAATAATGATTTGATAACCACCAGACCAAACCAAGGTCATGTAGTGAAAAATTGTTAAAAGTTCTACACGAAACACATTGAAAAATTTGCAGAAGCCAAAAAAGTCAATGAGTTAGTGTCCATCATAGCCCCAAATAATACCTCCAAATTGTGACATATTAGAGCTACCATAGCAACTTCCACTGGTTAAGCTTTACCACATTAGCTGGAGGGAGTAATCACCTTATATAAGTTATTACATGGGATTTGTCTAAATGAGTAAAAACATCAAACACTTTTAAATTTAGATTCTTGATAATATTCACACATGCAACCAAAAGGTCTCCTTATTATGAAAGATTAAAATATTCTCGACCCTCCAAATACATCATCAAGTAATTGCTAACACAAATTTTTTTTGGTTTTTTTCCTAGACATTATTATGAATTCATTGTACAAAAATTAAATTGCTAAAAATTTATAACTTATTATAACTTTCTTTTAACTAATTTTAGTATACACAAATTTTATATAATTTCATTCTTTTAACTTCTAACTTTTATTTTATTTTATTTTTGTAATTACTCGAAAAATGTTTAATTTTTTCTATTATCAACCATCAACTATTATTTAATTTTAATTTATTTTATTTTATTAATCACCATTTATTAGGTAGGATTGAATGTATTTGTTGCATATATTGAAAAAAAAAATAATTAGACGGCAAAAAAATAAATGATAGTTATATTTTATCTCAGTCTTCTAATTTATTTTAATAATGAATAACGATAGACTTTATTTTTTTTTTCGGGACATAATTTAATTGTTACTTTTGACTTCACATAAATGAGAAACTTGTTTGGCCTTTAAATTCATCTAAATGTGTCCCCTTTCTATTCTATTTAGACAATATAAATCGAGTGTATATATTAGGCATCTTTATTTTAGAATCTTATAAATGAATTTTAGCATTTATTTGTAATGATTGATAAAAAAAATATTTTTAAAATTTTATAAATGAATTTTAAGACTAATTTGTAATTATTATTAAATATTAAATGAAAATGTCTTAATTCGGTTCTTTAATATTAAAGTGATGTTATATTGAACTATTATAATTAACTTAATAACAATTAATTAGAATAAATATGTATAAATTTATAAATTCAACCATTATTTATAGTTTCGGCCAATAAAAAAAAATTATTGACACATTAGTGTTTTTAAAATCCATAAAAAAAGTATTATTCTAACAAAAAAAAAACTTAATAACACTTAGAACACCAACAAAAGATAAAAATATTTTTATAAAACATACGCTAATGTTTAGGATTATTAATACGTTTTATATAATAATTTTTATTTTTTAATGAAATTTTAATTAATATCTTTAGAATACTCATTAATATATATATATATATATAT